ACTGAGCTATCTGTCAGTGTCTTTAGTAATGCAAACAGTGGACAGAAGATTTCAAAAGAATCATCGTTTCCAGGGAATGTTGAAATAATCCCTCAAATGTTGCCCATTAAAAAATGGGATCATTAAGGCACAACTTCCTCCAATAGCATTAAAATCTTTAGACTTGAATCCAAAGAAACTGAATAACTCACCCAATGGAACATAAGTACCCAACGTCAAGAAAAGACGAGACAGTTTTAAAGGACTGGAAAGTTTTATACTAGTCTCCTTTTTATTAAAACTAATGTATTTTATGCTGACAGACAGGCCTCTCCGTTGTGCTTTTCTATCCTTTAACCCCTGATTTTTTTTTCTCTGTCAGATCTACTGTAGAAATGCCAGCAAGCTTTAGGAAAAACAGAAGTTTTCTTACATTAATACTCAACTGTGGAGCAGATGTGAGTCCTACAGGGAAAATCAGCATTGAAAACCAGAGCTGGGATAGAACAGAGACATCACTGATGACTTCATTTACCGTTTCATGCAAAGGTTTTTCGTACTCTTTACAGTCTGTCACATTATGATCACAAACTTCCATGTACATAATAAAAAAATTATTAAATTCAGAGAAATTAGCACATTTTGGTGTTTATTTGTATTCAGCGGCTTAGAGGTAATTCTGCTTTTTATTTAATTTTGCTTTAAAAAACATCTCACAGTTGCTGCTTAGCAGTGTTAATTTATATTGAAGTCTTCTAATTAATAATTAATTGGATTTTGGTCTGAACTTTGACTAGGCCATCCTAAAACATAGGATGTGTTAATAAAAAGAACACCATCGTAAAAAAAGAAATTCCGGACTTTGTTTCCAAGTTTTGAAGATGTTTTGCTTCCCATCCAATAAGCATTTTCAATTTAAGATGTGGACATTTTTAATTGAAATGGAAAAACGATCTAGAAATAAGTATACGTTTCTTAAATTAATTGTATTTACCCTTAATTTGAGTAGGGAAATGAGTTTGCAAATGGAATTGAGTTTTTTTACTCTTAAAATAAGATAATATGCTTTTAAAATCAGTGTGTTTTCTTATTTTAAGTGTAAATTGTCTTGTTCCATTGGCAAAATGTGTCTTATACCTCCTTAATCCAAAAACAAATGCACCTATTTTGAGACAAAATGACTTATCTAGATTTTGATTCTTTTCAGTGTGAAAAAGCTTCCTAGATAGGAAGCGAAACATCTTCAAAACTTGGAAACTAATTCCAGGCGATTGTTTTTTTTTTTTACTTTTTGATAATGACTATAACCTTTATGACTGAGAATCTTCACCACCATCTTGGCTGTATTTCCATCTGTCCATCAACTCCAGGTTTCGAGACCCTCCTTCCTTACAGTATGCACTGCAAAAAATTGAAATCTAAATAATAATTTTTTTCCTAAACTAAGTGCATTTGTTCTTGAATTGAGGAGGTAAGTGAGACACTTTGCCAATGGAACAAGACAATTTACATTTAAAATAAGAAAAAGCAACTGCATTGTCTTTTTCCAAGTGCTTATTATTGTCATGATTGGTTTAAAGCTAAACCCACATGCAGAACACAAATGGAGGCTGAGTAAAAGTTTAACAGAGTTTATTGAAAAGGGTTTTCACACAAAGACATGAACAGGTTCTGGTACAGGTCCGGGTTGGGTTCACTGATGTCTGCAGAGACGGACAGTTTGATTAGCCAGGCAGTCAGATGATTAATTGAGTCTTTAGTTAATTCAGAGTCTACCTTGAAGAAGTCTAGGCTTTACTTGTGAGAGAGGGAACCGTTGGGTCCAGAGACTGTTGGTTCAGCAGAGTGCACAAGCAGCAGCAGCGTCTAGCTTCTGACTTTGAATGGCAGACCTTGATCAGAGTTTCCAGCTCTTCTCTGAGAGCAGCAGGAGAAAACCAGATTGGAATGTTCAGGTTTGTCTCACCAGGGCTGGCAGGCAGGTTAAGCTCATCCAGAGCTTCAGACTTGAGACAGGTTTCCTGTGAGCAAAGACAGAGGCAGATTAGAATCAGGTTTCTCTCTTGAGATAACAAAGATTCTGTCAGGTAACAGAGGCTCAGGTTCGCTAACCAAACTTGGTCAACACTGTGGCGTCAAAGGAAGGTCTGGTTGCTGCTTATGAAGGCAGGTCTCCTGATGGGTTGATGAACGTCAGGTGTGCTTGAGGGCTCCAGCCCAGGAGACCCACAGCGCACTCTGCTGGAGAAAGGTGGTACATCTCCAGATCCCAACAATTATCTAATTATCTTATTTTAAAAGTATTTACCTACTAAAATTAAGGTAAAATGAACTTGATTTAAGGAATTTTTTACTTATTTCTAGATTGTTTTTGCAGTGTGATGCTGCTCCCAACATGTTTTATCATCAGTTCCTTTCATCTTGCTACACTGTCACATACTTCCTCGGTTTGGGGGGTATATCACAGTTTTTCTACTTTTCTTCTCAACCAATTATCTTCTCTGAGATGTGGATGCATTATTGCCTCCACAGCTACCACCTTAAACCTGCTTCATTGATCAATGCTCTTCTTTTCAGAACTGTCACTTTATCTTGCTTGCAGTTCAGCCATACTTTTTTTTTCCACAATCCGACAATGAGCTGATCATTGAAGAAGGATCAAAGGTTGAGATATTATTTTATATCCTGAACCTGACTTCTTCACACAACCGGTGCATTGGATTTTATTTCAGGATATAGGTGCAAAGCAGGCTGAATAAATATTTAAAAAACTTCTATCCATTTCCTTTTCCTCTACCATAACACAATCTTGTTGCGCTTTGCAAGGCTCCATATATAAAAGCATGAGCTCACTCCATAGCTGGTGGACATGCAACACAGACAAAACAGAAGGAAACTGGTTTGAAAATAAAACAAGCTTGTGCTCCGACTTTTCTGGGGATGTTCATCGGATCAAACGCTGCTGCCGCTCTCGAAAGGTCAAGGGGTTTTGGAAAAGAGCTCATCTGGAGGAACCTATGACACAGGGGTGCAAAATATCAGGTAACACTTGGGTAGTAATTTTTTTTCAACTCTGGAAATGTTAAACTCTTGTTTGTATTCTGTCTCAGACAGGATTTGATTACCAAAAATTCCCAACAGGAGTTGGATTTGATTTTGATAAACAAGTCAGTCTGTGGAGATTGATTTAAAATATGGTTGATGTGGCAATGACTTCATTTTTATCAACTCATTCAGCTTTTGAATTGGTTCATTCTTGCTAAACAAAAAACCCTGAGCTGTTTAAAACAACAGGAGCTCCATCTTCGCTGGTCATAAATGTTTCTTTTACCACCAGTGTGACAAATAGCTTTGGTAGCCGTGACAGCTCAACAGGACACTTTGATTGTATAGAATTAAACGCATGCAGCTGCAAGTCTAATCGCGGATCGTGCCATTTGGCTTTAATTACTGCAATGTCATGAAAGAACCACAACCAGAACCGCAGAGCTGAAAGAAAGAGAGAATGTTTCAAAGGTTCTCCCAGAGTCTTGTAGGAATAGGGTGAAAGACAAGTTGATGTAGGAAATCTTTATTATCCAGAGCTGTGATGTTTCATGGGGTAAATCGGTTCATTGTTTTCAGATTGTCTACCTTCCCTTGGCTCTTTGATGAGACCATCTCCTCGGCAGATGGCTTCCAGTTTTAGAAAACCGCAGGGAGAAATAAAGCTTCTTGAACAAATTTACTCAAACATCAGCTATATGGAGCATATACAAGTATTTTTAAAGTTTTAAAAGCATATGGCTTAAAAAAAAAAAACTGTTGCTACTCGCTGCCTAAAAGCTGGCTGAAAGAGGTCTTTTACTGTTGGTTTTGCTTACAGGAGAGAAAATGTTTTAAGGAAGACCAGCTTGTTATTTGTTCTGTAATGTTGGGAGCAGACGTCAGCAGATTTAACGTTTGATGAAATACGATATTTGACATAGCAAAAAAAAAAAGAAAAACTTATTTAATGCTTTGCACATCTCTGATGTTTTGTTGGAATAATTGTCATGGTCTCTGCGCTGATGGTTGGCACTTTCTGTTACTCCTTCTCACCTGTCTAATTGGTGCATCTGCTGATTAGTGCTCATTGTTTCCACCTGGTTCCCTCTGCTATTTATGCTGGCTGTGTGCCTACCATGAATGCCAGATTATTCGAGCCAACTGTGAGAGTAACTCTAGCCATTCAATTGAGTTATTCTGATTCTGACCTGTTTTTCTGTATTTTGGATTCCTGAGTTTAGTCTTGCGCTTGTCTGTTCAGTTGGTTTTGTGTTTTTAACTGACTTCCTGGATTCTGCCTGTGTACCGAACTACGTATATCACTCACCTCGGCTTGGTTTCTCCTTCTCGGACACTGTTGCCTTCTCGACGTCGACAGGTGCCAGCTTATCTGTTCGCCTGGAGCATTGGAAGTGGCTACTACCGCAAGCGTTGGACATTCCTCCATTTTGGATTCCTCTCCTACCTCCGGCATTGGACTAGATCAGTGGTCTCCAACCCTGGTCCTCAAGATCTACTGTCCTACAGATTTTAGATGCATCCCTGCTTCAACACAGCTGAATCAAATGAATGGCTTGAAAAGGTAATCAATCATTTGATTCAGCTGTGTTGAAGCAGGGATGCATCTAAAATCTGTAGGACAGTAGATCTTGAGGACCAGGGTTGGAGACCACTGGACTAGACGTTTAAACAGAGGATCCGATTATGGACTCTGCTAATGACCAGCTGCTCACTACGCTCATATAAATAAAGCTGGTTACAAACTTCCCTGATCTGTCTCAATACTGGGTTCAAAGTTCAGAGGTCCTGACAAAAGTAGTTTCTAATTTAAATAAAATTTTTAATAAATGGACTGAATTTATATTCAGTTTTTTATCGTCATAACGACCACCCAAAGCATCTAGGCTAAATCTATATCCATCCAATCAGACTTAGTGTCACGTTCAGTTTAACGTGTCTAACCCACATGCAGAACACTCAGAGGCAGGAGAAAAGTTCAAAGGTTTATTAAGATGATTGTACAGATTCAATGAACAGATCCAGTGGGGAACTCGTCTGGTCACGAGTGGGTTCTGAAAGGCACACAGATTAATCAGATCCAGGAAGGGAATGGACTGGTCACGAGTGGGTTCACTGCAGAGGGGGACAGGGGAGTTAGTGGAGGTCCAGGTATTTTGCAGGGTGAGAATGTGCTGGGCAGTACCTGTTCTGGAGTTGAGCAGAGCAGCTGAGGGGGGGAACCTTGAGGATCCAGAGGCTGTCGGCAGGCTGAGGGCTAGGCGGAGGCAGAGCTTAATTTGAGTGCAGGCAGATCACAGATTAGAGTTTCCTTCCAGTATCTTCTGAGAGCGGGCAGACAGATCTTTGACAGGAATTGTTCTCCAGAGTTCTTCTGAGAACGGACAGGCAGATCACCGGCAGAGAAACTCTGCAGGGTTTCAGGTTTCAGGCAGGTTCAATCTAGGAAGCAGAGAGGAGAAAACAGATCAGGTTCTGATTCTCAGGGAGTCAGAGGTTTAGACAGGCTGGTTGGCTCAGGCTTGCTAACCGTTACTGGCAAACACTCTGGCACTGGAGAGAAGTCCTCCGCCTCCTTAAATACGGATCTCCTGATGAGCAGATGAGCGACAGGTGGTGCAATCAGCTTCGGCTCCAGGAGATCTAGTATGCCCTCTGGTGGAGAAAGTGGACAGACCTCCAGATCCCAACACTTACAAATATACAAACATCTATACAACCTGACAAAGAAAAGTACATTTGAAAACTACCCGCCTAAACACTCTTCTTCTTGCCAAGAAATGAGAATCAACAACTTTCAGACTTTTGCAAAACAACTATCTACATGTACATCATGATATCAGTAAAACTCTTAGTATTTTTAGTCCAGATTCTTATAGAATTAAAATATTATACAAAATCTCTTCTACAGTCCACCTAAATCTTTTAATTCAGTTTTGACAAAACGTGACCTCTTTCATACATTTTTTGTATGGAAAAAGGTCGCTAACATCATAGAGAAAAAAATAAACATCTCGTATGTGAAATAAAGGAAGTGTGGTTGTGGATTTACCCTTAAAAAGATGCAATGGATTAGGCGTGGAGCACAGCCCCACCCAGCAGTGCTTAGTCTCATTACACTTGATTGATTAGTATGTAATTAAGTCGGTCGCTGATCATGGGTTGACAAAAATACGAATTGCATCCTGTGTGCTCTGGACTAAAGAGCCGCAACCTATAATGACACAACAAACTGTCCAAACAGTAGCCTCTACGCTTTCCCTTTTTCACATGTGACATTCACCAAAGCACGGGGAATTCCATGCGGTTTCTGATGACAGCTGCGAGTGGCTATGGATCACATAGTGCCTTACACAGTGCCAAGGTTAAAGGGGAGTGTGATGATAGAATCTGACTATGCAGTCCACATATTGTAAGAAGGCAGTATGTTATAAATGTCCAGGTCAGAAACACCACAATAAATGCAGCAATTCATTGGTGCTGCAGTGTTGATGGCAGGCAGCTGCATCACAGATGGTCACAGTTTCCTATATAAGCGCTGTGGCTTTGGCAGTTACTTCTCCAGGATGGTTATTGTTAGGCAGCGCAAACCTAAAAAAAAAATAAAAAAATACACAAAACACAGGCCACTCTTCCTGAGCTCAAGCAGAGTGCAATGTTTCTGCTTCATTCTCTTGCCTTTATTCACAAAAAAGGCAAAAAAAAAAGCGCTGAAATATTTGTTTCTTTCCTGCTAATTGCACATGGTCAGAGGTTAGTCGGTTTGGTCTGAGGCTTCTTGCTGACCCACCTCCCCCCAGAAGGTGAAATCCTTGTGTGCGCTGAGAGCCTGATCATAAATAACAAAAAAGTTTGAATGTTTCAGACCGTCGAGACTTAGTGACCAACTGGGGTTTTCTACATTCCTTTGCTTTAACTGATTCCGTCTTCTCCCCAAACTGACTTTATTTTTATGGTATAACATAAACCATTGTAATAGCACAGTGTTTTACTATAAAGTAGTATTTCACACAAATAAACATCTTCAAAATAAGCCTGAGTGTACGATTTTCATTGGATTTGCTGGGTTAAAGTTACAAAAATGTTTCCATAAGTAGATTAAACTGTCTGCCGGAGTCTGCCGTGCTCTGTGTAAAGTATTCTCATGTTGGAAATAAAACCTTTCTCTCTTCCTCTTGAAACTATAGTCTCAATAACCTATAGCAGATCTCATAATTATAATAACGTGGATGACACAACCTGCAAGAACTGGAAGCTTTTGTTCGAAAAAAATGTTAATTTCGGTGCTCATATATCAAGCAATCCATGAAGATGTTTTCTTCAATAGAAATTATTCATAAAATAAAAGACTCATACGTTTTTGAAGGGAGACTAGGTGGTGGAGGGAAGCTTTGAAGCTTCTAAAGTGTCAGAAGATAAAAAGAGGGGCAAGACATAAAGCTCACATTTCGTCTCATGAACCTCATTTAATGGTTTCCTTCTTTGAAAGTCCTAAAAAAAAATTCCCTCACTTTCACACATTTATGCTTTAGAGGTATTCTGCTTTTAACATTTGTTTCCTTTTGTATGAACTATTGCCAACATGTAGCATCTCAAAATAACTAAACCTTATCTTAAACAGATAACATTTTTAAATCTGTCAGGCACATCAAGAGCTTGAATCGTTTTATATTGGCAACAATTTCTGAAATGTTCCCCTTGTGACCCCATTTTCACCTCTCATCAGTCTCCACAGACCTAGAGGATCTATCTATGTGCATATATACAGCAGAGTGCAAAATACTTGGACTTTTCTTTTACTCTTTAACAGAGATGGCAAAAGTACTCACTTTCCGTACTTGAGTAAAAGTACAGCTACTTGTGTTAAAAAATACTCTGGTAAAAGTGGAAGTAATAATTAAACTTCAGGCTTGTAAATTTACTTAAAGTATAAAAGTAAAAGTAGAAACCACTTTTTTCATGCCGTTGCCTACATTTTAAATGGATGTCTGCCAATAGGACTAGATCTCCGTTGTGTTCATTTTCAATCATCTCGTTGTCCATGCTACTATGCTAACGCCACCGCCACCAAGCTGCAATGATTTGCCGCGAATGAATACCGCCGAATCTGTTGATTCATCTTGTAGTGGTGCGTCAAATGCAACGTAGATTCCCATCCAATTAGATTGAATTTGGTATTGATGACGTGAAAAATAATAACGGTAACTCCATTGAAATGATTCAAAACTAAAGTAACGAGCCAATTTTTTAAAATGTAAGGAGTAGAAAGTACAGATATTTGTGTAAAAATGTAAGGAGTAGAAGTGAAAAGTCGCCATAAAAATAAGTAGTAAAGTAAAATAAAAATATCAGAAAAATCTACTTGAGTACAGTAACAAAGTATTTGTACTTTGTTACTTCCCATCTCTGCTCTTTAAACATCTGCTTCATCATCCAATAATCTGCTTAAGGTAACTCTATATATTTTTTTTTTTACCCCATCTGAAGTTTCATTACTTTTAAATGCACTAAGAAAAACTAGACTGTGATGAAAATTTGAAATGTGTAAGCTAATGAATGGACCTGTTTATCCTTGTCTTCATGTTGTCTGCTCATTTATTAAATATTGCACTAGAAGGGTTTAGTTTGTTTTATTTTCCTCACTCTGAGCTGAAAAATTACCAATAATCAGATGTATCCTTTCACAATAAAACAGAGGAGCATTCTATAACTCACATATCAGCATCTTATTATGCTTTAATACACAAGATAAAAAATACTACTAAGAACCTAGTCTCAAGCTTGGAGTTCAATGCTACTATAAAACCTCGATGGTAAGAGTCCAACTTTAAACTTTTGTTCAAGTCTGAGTCTTCAGCGGCAGACTTAAATGAGTCATTACATCAAGAGGAGAAACAACCTAATGCATAACTTTGATATGCAAAGGGGCTTAAATGTGCAAGTGAGAGCTTCCAGCTCCTGCAAACAAGCCAGCGTTTGTTGCTGGAACCTTTTTGTGGCTGTCCTTATTCCTAGACCAATGTAATGTAAGTTCCTGTCTTTCGGGGCTCTCAGACCTTGTTTAACATAAACTGAGGCCTGACTGGTTAATTAGTTCCAGCATAGGATCCGGAGCAAATGCTGAAACCAAATCATCCTCTTTATCTGAAGCTTTGCGGGAAAGAAGAGAAAGCCACAAATGAAAGTGGAACCTCAATCATGACAATGGTGAGGAAGAAAGTCCATGTCACTTTAATGAACACACCAAAGGAAGACATCTGTAACCCTTTTTTCTTTTCATTTTCCATTCTACTTTAATTTTACACAACTCAAAGGTTAAAATCGAAAGCAGAAACTAAAGAGCAAGAAAATGTGTTTGTTTCTGTAAAATTGAAAGTTTCAAACATGCTGAAAACGGTAGCCGAGACAATGATAAATGCTCTGTTATTTCCATATTTGACATGTAACATGTGATGGATCCCCACTGACACATATGGTACAGGTGGTCAGATAAAGTTCCTTAGCTTTCATCTCACATGCAATTACTACGCTATGGAAGAGTAGTGATGATTAATGCAGCCCTGTGATATATGGTACAGAAAAATGGAAAGGCATATTTATGTGGCCCTTTAATCTCCCTTGACAACGGCCCTGTGTGAGCCGACGGGCTCATCTCCCGCGGCCGCATTAGACCAACTGCTCTCCTCTGCGCCTGTGAATTATGGCTGTCACCTGTCGGAGATTTCACAGGACAGCACCTCATTTGGGGTCAATTTCTGTCTCTCCCAGCAGATCAGCGGGTCCGGTGGCGAGGCAAGCTGATAGAATTTGGGATTTTGAGGAGTACGGATTATAGGATCAAAAGGCAGTGGTGCTAATCCCTCCCCGTTATTAAAGATGATCGTTCTATAAATGACAACACATGCAAAACTTCTCCCAACTCCAAACTCTTAGCGGCGTATGTAAGTACTTAGCAGAACCAGGCTCGAGGGATGGGGACGCCTCGGAGCTGGATTAATCGTGAGAGATGAGCTGTTGATCCTATAGTTACTCGCTGAGTTTCTTTTTTCCATCTTTCCATATGAGGAAGTGCACACGTCACTGTTAGAAAGAGAAATGAAGGAAGAAGCAGTAGCAGAGAGGTTATGGGAGCCACTGTCTCTTCCCTGTACATGGCAATTATCTCCTGGAGCTCAGGAAGCTAATTGGTAGAGATGTGGGATAAATCCCTGCCTGGGGGGATTGTGCTAATTTTCCACTTTCAGCTGACCTAATAAGAGGGACATCTCCTGGATCTGGAATGGTGGTAGGACAATGAGAGACAATATCCTGTGTTAAAATGCATACCTTATGGTCCTCAGACACTAAGATCCAACTACACAACATGCCTTCTGTGTTCAGTGGCTAACAAGTGTTTTTTGTAATATCCGTGCGTGCAAGGGTGCTATTTCTGGGAAGCAAGCCCAGTACCTCTCCAGCTGATGCTGCCCTCATATTACTTTGTCCAATGAACATCCTTAACAGCACGGACACTCGCTTCATGGATTCCTCCTGAGCAGTGAAGTGTGCACAACCAAAGTAAGGGCTCCTCTGTGCATATGACGAATCTAA